TTTTAATAATTTTAACACAGCTATTTTTTATTTCTCTTTGTTTCTCCTTCGAAATTCATTGACAGACAGTTAAGAACTCTACAACTGTTTTTTAAAGTAAATGAAAAAATGTGGAATTCCGAGTATGTCTGGCGTCAGTAAAGAATTGAGAAAAAAGAAAAAAAAAATGGAAAAATTCTAAACTTATTACTTATTAAAAGCAAAGGATAAAAAGGAAAGGAATAAAGCACTTAACTAAGTGACAGATAAAGGGGCATAAACTATTTTTTTTTTGAACTTTATAATTGATAAAAGGAAGAAAATTGGCTTTAGAAGAGTGATGATATTAGTGGTAACTGTAGTACTAAAGGGTTCAGTATTAGTGGGCAAAATTGGAAGAGGAAGCGGGGGGGGGGAGAAAATTTAATAAATTTTTTTCGGGTTTTCTGAATTATTGTACAAATATTTTGAACATTATCGTGAGGTCGATCGCCGATTGGCAATAAGAGTTTTGCAATTTTTTTTTCTTTTTATGTTGCTAACTTTTACGTATGTGTCTATGAGTGACTGAGTGACTGAGTGTTTCTCTCTATCTGTGTCTTTTATGTGTGGTTTGGAAGAAGGTGTAAGCAGCCAACAACAATCAGCAGAGAATGGCCATCGTCAAATGATGGTAATTGAAGTGTAGGCGATTGCTGTTGTTGAACGATGAGTAAAAAGGTGGTATCATCCGTCCGTTTATGACAGACAATTACCAGCACCAAAAAAAAAGTGCTACTTTTATTGTTGTTTTTACTAAATATATCTACTAGAAATTTATGTTCAATTTCCCAAAACAAGAAATTTTACTGTTTTTTTTTTTTTTTGGATGTTTTTGCTGTACAAAAAATTGTTTTCGTTTGCTGTTACTATTACCGTTGTATTGTTATTTGTTATGTGATCAGTTGTCTCTTTTTGGAAAGAATATGTTGCTTTTTATGATTTAACAGATTTTTTCTTCTAAAATTATTTTGTATTTCATAGTCAGTCGAAAGGAAATAAAAAAAAAAACTAACAAGAAAAAAAA